TACCCTTCTGATATTGTCAATATTCCAGTGATCACTGTCAAGAGTATTCTGTGGTGTTGATATATTCATGTATGCCCTCTAGTTTCTCCTTATTGACTTATAATTATAGTCTCTTGTCACATGAAATGATACTAGAAATGAGTTAAAATATTTGAATTAACATAATTTTTAATTAATATTTTCTTAATGTTTAATTAATATTTTAAATTAATATTTGTTCTATAACAGAAATTGCGACCTGTTTTGAAAAACCCTCATCAGTTGATGAGGCGATGTCTGGTTTATCACTGTTGGATACAGAGTTCCGTAGATGGCTGATAAAGCCATGTGATACAAGGCTCAATTTAATCTGAGATTTCTTTTTGACTTTTTTGGATGAAGGATACATTTACTAACAAACATTGCATATTGACGTTATAATTTGTATTTGTACCTATTTGTCCCTTTAGTTGTATTTGTTTTCATGAATGCAATGACTTTCTGATTCTGGGATACCTCACTTAGGATGATCATTTCCAGTTCCCACCATTTACCTGCAAATTTCATGATTTCCTTGTTTTTTTTATTGTGGAGTAATATTCCTTTGTGTAGGCATACCACAATTTCTGTATCCATTCCTCAACTGGAGGACATCTGGGCTGTTTCCAGATTCTGCCTATTACAAATAAAGCTGCTACAAACATGGTTGAAAAGATGTCCTTGTATACTTGAGCGTCTTTTGGATATATGCCTAGGAGCAGTATAGCTGGATCTTGAGGAAGCTCTATTCCTAATCGTCTGAGACAGAGCCAGACTAATTTCCAAATGGTTGTACAAATTTACATTGCCACCAGCAGTGGAGGAGGGTTCAAGACACGCAGCATATATACTCACTCATAAATGGATATTAGACATATAATATAGGATAAACATACTAAAATCTGTACACCTAAGGATGCTAATCATGAAGGAGGACTCTGCCTAAGATGTTCAATCCCATTCAGAAAGGCAAAGAGGATGGACATCGGAAGAGGGAGAAAACAGGGAACAGGACAGGAGCCTACCACAGATGTCCTCTGAAACGCTCTACCATGCAGGGTATTGAGGCAGACACTGAGAATCATAGCCAAACTTTGGGTGAAGTACAGGGAATCTTATGAAAGAAGTTGGAGATAGGAAGATCTGGAAAGGACAGGAGCTACACAAGGACAGCAACAGCACCAAAAAAATTGAACACAGGGGTCTTTTCTGAAACTGGTACTCTAGCCAAGGACCACTTATGGAGATGGCCTGGAACCCCTGCCCAGGGGTAGCCTATGACAGTTCAGTGTCCAAGTGGACTCTATAGTAATGGGGACAGGGACTGTCTCTGACACGAACTGATTGGCCTGTTCTTTGACCACCTCTTGCCAAGAAGGGAGCAGCCTTACCAGGCCACAGAGGAAGACAATGCAGACAGTCCTGATAAGACCTGATAGACTAGGATCAGAGGGAAGGGGAGGAGGACCTCCCTTACCAGTGGAATAGGAGAGAGACTCAGGTGAGGAAGAGGGAAGGTGAGATTGGGAGGGGAGGATGGAGGGAGGTACAGGGAGGATACAAAGTGAATAAATAGTAATTAATAAAAATAAACATAATTTAAAAAGAATGCAATGACTTTATCTTATTTTGGCCCACGATATGCTTGTTAGATATTGATGTAGTTATTAATTCTTGTTTTGGAGTTTCATATGGTTGGAATTAATTTTTCCTTCCATTCAATTCAGTCTCTCAGTGAGGTGAGTTTCTTGTAGACAGCAAACAGCTGGATATTGTTTTTATATAAAGTCTTCCCATTTGCATTTTGTATGCAGAGAGTTAAACATATATATTTACAGTTAGTATTGAATGATACAGCACAATATTTAAAAAGACTTTTGATGGTTATATCATGGTTATGTAGAGGAAGAGAGCTGATAGAATGAAGACATATCAGAAGAGTATTAGATTGACTTACAGTGTGGTCTGGGTTGTTCAACAATAGTTATCTTAGACTACAGGAGAGGCTGGGGGTGGGTAAACATTCTTAGACCACAAGGGTGTGTGCCTTAGCAGTCCCAATCTAACATCAAAGGCCTGGAGGATTTCTGCATAGTCTCTCTAGTAGTCACAGGCAAGACTAGAAGCTAACCTAATTACAAAATCCCTCAAAGGCTTTTTGCCAAGGTGATTTTACATCTTAACAAATTAAAATTAATATTAACATCATACTGGTTTTGGATAGTCTCTGTTTTTTTTTTCTTTCTCCTTTTTTTATCTTAGAACTTTTCTAACTTAGAGAGTTGATAAGATTTTTTTCTTATTTATCTTTCTATGATAGATTCATTTTTTCTAAGCTCTCCTGATTGTCTATTTTCTTCTTTTTCTGTGAGTAGTAGTATTATTACAGAAGTATCTTCTGCAATGCTGGCTTGGTGGTCATGAATGGCTTTAATCCCTCGTATTTCTCTTCCATTGTCTCTAGCCTATTAACGAAAATTAGCACTTATGTTTTTAAACTTAGCTTATTGACCTGTTTATTTCTCAGACCTTAATTTTTAAAATTTTTCTTCAGCATTTCTGCTTGCTGATTTATCAGGCAAATTCTATAATTGCTTCTTTATTCCATTGGGCAATGTGTGTGTGTCCAATTTTTTTCATTAATCACTTTAAAAGTTAGACATATGTGTGTGTATATATATATATATATATATATATATATATATATATATATATATATATA